TATAGAACGTTTACTATAGGCAGCCAATAAGATTTCAAGGATCGACAGCCAATCAGGTGGATTTTTAACTATGCTGTGACAGGTTATGCCGAATATATTAATTTAGATTGTCAATCAACCTAACGCATCTCTGATTGGCTGGTGCTTTTTATATGATTTTAAAAATACTATATATTAGAAAATAAGTACGTACGTATATACGAAAATAACTGATAACTAAATTGCACTGCCCAGACACTAACTGCTATAAACTGTAAATTCACATATTTCTTTTTAATAGAGTTGGATAGTATGTGCACTTAAGAGAGAAAAAGTGTATCTATTTACAAAATTTAGCGAAATAAATTAAAAAAAAAAAGTCAATAAAAAAAATTTTAAACTTTTAGTGAAATAAATTAATAAAAAAAAAAGTCAATAAAAAAAATTTTAAACTTTTAAAATCTACAGGTTGGTTATTATGGCACACTATAAAATTCGTATTGTATTATGAGAAAGTACATAGTATATAAAAGAAAATTAAACATATAAATAATGAAGCATAGTATTTGGCCTTCTATTTCGTAGTTTAGTAATTAGTACCATGTAATTTTTATATAATTTGAATCGTCTCAATGAGACAAATCGAATAGTACTAATATAATTTTGATTCTTAGTATTGTTTAATGGGATATAGCTAAAAAAAACCAAGTGCGCCATATTACTCACCAGCGTCAGAATACCCGAATCTCCTTTATATTTAATATTTAAAGGAAATGTAGAAGTGAAATGCAGCATGTGTATAACGAATAAAATAAAAATATAACATACTTAGTAATTATCATAACAATTTATAATGCATCAATTATTGAAATTTAATATTCAATTATATATCACTCTACAGTTAATACATATAATGAATAAAACTATAACTTTCAATTTGGTTAATTTGTCATTATATACTTGTTTAAATTATGATCCTTTTTACCCATCTTTTTCTTCTTTCAGGAAGGAATAATATGAGGATCAGTATTTTCTTTTTCTTTACTAGCACCAGGTAGTTTTTACTTTTCACCACCAGGTCTTTCCAACTTTCGTCTTTTAATAGACTTTACTTGGACACGAATCATAGAACCGCTTTTAACATGAGTTGCCTGATCTGAATTGCGATTAAAGTTATAAGAAAATGAAACAAGTCGAGGAATAGATTTCAATTTTGCTTGACGATATTGTTTTGCGAATTTGCTGATTGCAATGTATAAGTGAGAACTAGAATTTTCATAATCTGCTTTAATTTCATCTAAAAATATAAAAAAGATATTATCATTGATATTATTTTCTTTATCTGATTCATTAAAAAGAATAATACAATATTAATTTAATGCGACAGTAAATTATTATCAAACATTCAAAGTAATGAGAGTTCTAGAATAAGACCTCTGTTCAGTAGCTTTATCGAAATCGTTATTAGAAGTATCATTTACTGTTATGAAGTTTTGATCTTGCAAGAAGGGTCTAGGTCGTAATGAAGTATAAAATAAAAGATCCTTAGAAAAATAGCCTAGAAAAAAAGGTATAATAAAATTTGCCCCAATAATTGTTATATGTATTATGCAAAATGCAAATTATGCATTATATAATCTATAATTAGAATTATCTCTAATGCTGAATAAATTACTTAAATAGTGCAAAAAGTGACAGATTTTTTGATCGATAAATCAAACACAAACTAGAACTATACAGGTTACAAATTTATATACATAAATTATATAGTACAATAACATTACTTACTAAGTGCGATATATGAGTATATTATACGATTCTCGGGTGTCAATGAAGGTATAAAATTAAACATAGCAATATGATATTTAATCGCGATGGCACTTTGATGTTTGCAGGGTGCACCAGAAGTTCCAGTTGGACAAGTACATGCTTCAATCCCACTGTTCACAACATAATAAAAATTATTCTGTTTTGTGCTTTTCACCAAGAATTCATTTTCTACATTTGTTCTTTTAATAAAATTCAGATCCACCATTTCCCAACCAGGACATAGGAAACGTTTTGCAATGCAATAGTGACCAGGATGTTTATGAGCAACTCCAAGAAGCCGTCGCTTGTAAAACCTTTCCATACTTGATGTTATAAATTGAAACACTTGTATAACGTTATATGCTTGTGTTCTTGCAAAAACAATATCTTTTAAGATACCGAAACTTCGTTCAATATAATTGTTTGTATTGTTTCCATGTATAGATAAACTAATACGGAATGATAGAGCCCAAAAATAATGCCTCTTCCACATACGTTCAAAGTGCCTTTGTAAAGGTAAATAATTATAAAATTTTTGTTTAAATTCCTCATAATGCTTATTCATTTCAGAGTCAGATAATGCGTAAAAGATTTTTTCATTTTATTCATTATAATTGCTCGGTCTTCCTTTTTAATTTGGTGCTTCGAATCGTGCAACCACCTCCAGAATGCTTGTAGGACGTGAAATGTACACAAAAGACAGATACCTGTAGTGAGTACCAATTAAATTAATTATTAATTTAAGTTATAAGAAGCGTGCCTAATATAATGCGAATAAGAATGAAATAAATATATTTAAGATTCAACAATTCCAAGAATCAATTAAATTTATTAATTAAACTAGTGAAATTTAATATTTTTGAAAATAACAGATTTAGAAAATAAATAGGTGTTTGACGAAGTAAACTTTTTTCTTGTTAATAAACTTAGTAAACTACAAAAACATCTATTTAATAAAAGTATAATAAAAATACTCTTGCAATTTAATTTTGAACATTATATAAAACGAAGATAATTAGTCAAATATCTCGTAGCCAACAAAGTTCTAAAGCGTTACATTCTGCGCTTGAATCGTCAGTAAGAAAAACAATTGGCCCTACTTCTGGCCCACGTCCGAAAAAGGCATATGGCGGAAGTATTGTTTTTAGTAAGTCTATTGCCTTTTCTAATATACTCTCTGATTCATCAGAAGTAATAAATAAACCCAGAGGAAGGGCCCCGACCGCACAACTAGTATAGAAAAGAGTGACCAAAGTGTTTAGAGGATTGAATGATGCTGATGCATCCATATAACATATTTCACCAGCCTGAAGAACCTTTTCGTGCACACATGCCATCAAATTTGTTACTATACATAAAATAAATACATTTCCAGAACTTGCATTATATTTTTGTAAAGCAGCTTTACCCCACCCTAATAATATAATTAATTATATAGTACATATATTAAAATGTATAACATATTATTTAAAAATTAAAATAAAATAAAATAAAATAAATAAAATAAAAAACATAACCTATTATAATCTTCCACCATTAATTCTAATTGCTCAAACATTGACTTTCCATTACGGCCACCAAGTATAGCATTGCAATATTGCCAAAAAATATGATAAACAGAATCATAATTTGGATTAGTTGCTTGGTCCGCGAGTAATTCCACCAATTCTTGCTTATCTTTAGCGCTGAGGTGAAAATCATCTTCAAGAGCATATAATGCTGAGGAAGATAAGTGACCATTTTTGAAAAGATCTAACAATTTGTTATGAACTTCTTCCTTGATTGGTCGAAAACTCAGGGATTTGGCTACGTTGATGATATGATTGTGTGTGAACTTAATATTTATTTCCAGTGGGTGGCTTAATATAAGGTGCCGGCATTCCAACTGCAAGTAAATAGTTGCAGGGCAAAAGATGTTTCGAGCCCAAGATGACTGCAGACACTTCGTTTCACAATTTCCTTGCTTTTTTTTTACTTTATTGCTATGGATGCAATGCCATTGTTCACAAAAAATAACTCAGTTTCTTTTAATTTCAAAATCTCTTGTTTGAGGCATGGTTGTCTTTGACCAGGATTAATACTCCATAAACCACTCACGCGCACCTTCCTCACTATCAACATTCACGAATACGTCTAGTTCAAAATTTGCAACTTCGAAATCTTCCAGTGTTCGATGTGGCGGTAAATCGGTTAAATTTCATATTTGATAAGTGTAATGTTGAGGAAGAGCAGATTTTAAAATCTCTGGTAAGTTATTCCACAAAAATATCTAAAATAATAAAAAAGAAAATGACTAAATTAATACTATTAGCTAATTAGTAATCATGAAATCATTGACAATTAAAAAAAAAAGAAAATTGATAGTTTAGAAATTCTTATAATGTCATAAAAGTCTATTTATTAAATAGACTTTTATGATATTATAAGAATTCCCAAGCTATCATTTTTCTAGACCAGTTCTCAATTAATGCTATAAGCTATGAAGTTATTAATAAACCGATAAATTGACTATCGTTATAAATTAATTACTACAAAGAACATGGGGCGAAAAATAAAATAAATCACAGTTCTTTTTTATTGAGAAAATTAATTTTTTGTAATCACTATTTTACACGAAAAAAAGGCCTCAAAAGCTTTATTTAAAGGAATTTTAATAAATTTAAATTTCAATAATTTTACATAAGCTAATAATCACTAATTTACGCGAAAAAAAGGCAAGACTTTGCTTCTAATAAAGTTATTGCGGTTGTGAATTAAGGTTCTTCCTAAAACTAACGTTAATAATTAATTTATCAAAAACCGGGTTTTTACCTTCGAGTTATTTTCTGTGCTTTCCATAACTATACGTACATGTAATTCTTAAAAACTTTATCGTAAACTTCTTTTATATATTATTACAGTATATTTTATAATAGACTTAATAAACTTATACTTTTATTTGAATAGTAAGAATGAACAAAAATATTCAAAAGCAAACAAAAAGTACTCAAGAGAGTTCAAGAAAGAACAAAAATATTCAAGAGCACGCAAATAAAAAAATCGGTTGATATGAAGTAAGTGCATATTAGTGCAGTAGTGCGACACAATATCATCATTATGAGATCATAGTCAATTCACCTGCTTCTAGGTACCCTGGGTCAGGCAGATCATTTAACGATCGGTGTAACCTGTCACACATTTCAGACGTGTAAAAAGATTCAAATCATTCCGAAAGGGTATGATTTTTTAATTTTATTTAATTTAATTGAATTTATTTTAATTTTTATAAATTATTTAGACTCGTAAAAGGCCAAAGTATAGTAAGAAAAACTTTAACTAAATTAACTTTAATTGAATTAATTCGCAATATTTTGAATTAGCTAAATTTCATTTATTATTTTTATTAATAATCCGAAAGAGTTTGAGTTAGTTCAGATGAAGACACAACTAACCAAGAAGAAGTACCCAAAGTAGATATAAATATACCAGTAGATGATAATTCTTTGGTCTCAAATGATGATGATAATGATGATGATAAGAGAGTTACAGTTGATGATGAGAAAGATATGGATGATAATAAGTAAAGTTTTTTTATTTTTGGGGGACCGATTCACTAACTCTTTTCGACGATTATTTGTACCAAATTTAACTAAAACAAAAATTTAGTTTTCTCTTAATTTTATTAACTAAAGTTATCTTTTCTAAATAATAAAACTTGTTTCTAAGGCCAAATTACATATAGCTCTCAATTTTTACATCCTTCGGGTTGTTTTTTAATTAAATATATAATATTCGCTCTAAATAGATACATAGCTTTCTAACTCAAATTTAGCTAAGGAAACCTGCTCTTTTTTAGAGACAGGGCTCTCTAGCTCTTTCACAGCTCCATTTTGACATAAAAAAACATCAAAAACAGACCAAATTTGACTGATCTATAGTAAAAACTCCTCATAAACTCCTTTTTAAAATTCTTTAAAAAATTTTTTTTCTCTTTTTTTCCTTTTCCCCTTACCTCCATAAAATTTTAGACCTAAACATGTTTTGGAACAACTAAAAATTGGTGGTTCTTTTAATTAATAATTCTTTGTAACAATTTTCTTTTTAATTTCTAATTAATTTAACACAAACAAATAATTACAAATCTGTAATCTTTTATGAGGTGTGGTGACTTAGTGTAGTTGTCTAGTTGTCACCCTCTTCAAGTGGCAGGTCTAGAGTTCAAATTCCACGGACGATGAATTTTGAAAAATAGCCTGTGCTACGGTTTACGGTTGTCAATTATCGGTTGGATCTAAAAATCTGTAATCTTGGTCATACTATCTAGTTATGGGAGCTTTGGCGCAATAAATCTGAGAAACCGGAATAACCGAAAACCCATTTGGCAAGTCCCGAATT